CGTTGTGTCCTGTGACATCTATTCTTTTGTCCCTCTCCACATTAACGCCCTTTTTCCTTCTGTTGCGCTGTAGATTTTTCTCACTTGTTCTGAGCGATTTGATCATGATTTGCAGCGCTGGCATTTCTTTGTGTGTTGTACTTGGGTTCATTGAATATCTTGGGTGTATGGTTTCCATTAAATTGGGAAAAATGTTAGCCATTATTTTTTTCCTGTCCCCTCCTCTCTCTCTGCTGGGACTCCCCTCAGAGAGTGCTGGAAGTTGGTGCACAGCTACCCACCCCCTGCTCCGTTTTTTCGTCTTCCTCCGTTTCATGTCAGGTCATTGCTGTCTTCAGAGGCCGCGGAGCTGGTACGTCTGACCTATTGTTTCTCTTACCCAGTGTGTTTTCCATTTCAGGCGTCTTCATTTCTACTCCATTTCGGGTGTGTTTGTATTCATCTTTACATGTTCAACGTTTTCCTTCGTTTTTAAGTAGCGTCTAACAACTTCTAGTGCCTGTGCCTGCTAATCCAGCATCTGGGCTGGTTTCTGTTGATTGATGACGATGGTGATGGTTTTGTTTATTATGGGTCATGTTTTTGTTCCTTCGCATGCTTGGTGATTTTTTATGACATGCGAGAAGGAGACTCACTTGTTAGGGGCTAGTTGTTTTTGTTCTGGGACATAGTTCAATGGCTTGAAAACAGTTTGATCCTTTCAGGCCTTGCTTTAGAGCTTTACTAGGTTTAGAGAGCAGGGCAGCCCTTTTTCAAGGGCATGTTTCTAATTCTGAGGCCAGACCCTTCTGAGTACCCAGCATGCACTGGAGCAGGAGGCTCTCTAGTGCGGGCCAGTGGGAATGGGCTCCGGGTACTGTTTCCCCTCAGCCCGTCCCCAGCCTGGGGCAGCTTTGTCCTGTGTGTGTGCTCACCACCCCACTGCTGGACACTTGAGGGGCCCCTCTGCGCATCTCGCCCCTTGCTGGTCCTCTGACCCGGGAGCTCAGCCTTCGTCTCCCTTGCTGCTGGGCCCCATCTCTTCATATCAGGAAGTCACTGGGCTCTGGGGTCCCCTCCGTGCTTCACGGCCTAGAAGTGCGTGGCAGTAAGCAGGGTCAGTGGTTCTGTCAGGGCTCCTGACCTTCCTGAGGTCCAGTGTATTGAAAACCTGTTCCATGTGTCTGTCCAGTTTTCCAGTCACTTCAGGGTAAATGCAGTCTCTTGTTTCATCTTGACCAGAAGAAAAAGTCCAATATGGGGATTTTAAAGTCTTAATTTTTAATTACTCAAGTAATACATAAATACATATTCTTAATTTTTTCCCCTTAAATGATTAGAGGTGGAGAGAACTCTGCTTTGATATCCTCAGTCCGCCCCTCGTGCTTGCCTTTCTCTGTTTCCCAGAGGTAATGACTGGAACTGGTTTGGAATTAAACTTTTCCCCCTAACAGTTTCTATACACATAACTATATGTACCCTTAGAAAATATATTAATACAGATTCTTAACATTTTGCAAATCTGTGCAGACACCTCTCGCTCCTGCTATGAACCTTCTGCCCACAGGCTGTCCTTGAATCCTGAGCATTGCCAGGTAGGATGGCACAGGTGTGGGTGAGTCCTTCCAGTCTGTGGGTGTCTTGCCTGTCTTCACTGGGTGTAGGGCTCTAGGCAGACGGTTTTTGCTTTCAGCCCTTGAATGGTGGTCCTCTCGCGTTGTGTCCTGTGACATCTATTCTTTTGTCCCTCTCCACATTAACGCCCTTTTTCCTTCTGTTGCGCTGTAGATTTTTCTCACTTGTTCTGAGCGATTTGATCATGATTTGCAGCGCTGGCATTTCTTTGTGTGTTGTACTTGGGTTCATTGAATATCTTGGGTGTATGGTTTCCATTAAATTGGGAAAAATGTTAGCCATTATTTTTTTCCTGTCCCCTCCTCTCTCTCTGCTGGGACTCCCCTCAGAGAGTGCTGGAAGTTGGTGCACAGCTACCCACCCCCTGCTCCGTTTTTTCGTCTTCCTCCGTTTCATGTCAGGTCATTGCTGTCTTCAGAGGCCGCGGAGCTGGTACGTCTGACCTATTGTTTCTCTTACCCAGTGTGTTTTCCATTTCAGGCGTCTTCATTTCTACTCCATTTCGGGTGTGTTTGTATTCATCTTTACATGTTCAACGTTTTCCTTCGTTTTTAAGTAGCGTCTAACAACTTCTAGTGCCTGTGCCTGCTAATCCAGCATCTGGGCTGGTTTCTGTTGATTGATGACGATGGTGATGGTTTTGTTTATTATGGGTCATGTTTTTGTTCCTTCGCATGCTTGGTGATTTTTTATGACATGCGAGAAGGAGACTCACTTGTTAGGGGCTAGTTGTTTTTGTTCTGGGACATAGTTCAATGGCTTGAAAACAGTTTGATCCTTTCAGGCCTTGCTTTAGAGCTTTACTAGGTTTAGAGAGCAGGGCAGCCCTTTTTCAAGGGCATGTTTCTAATTCTGAGGCCAGACCCTTCTGAGTACCCAGCATGCACTGGAGCAGGAGGCTCTCTAGTGCGGGCCAGTGGGAATGGGCTCCGGGTACTGTTTCCCCTCAGCCCGTCCCCAGCCTGGGGCAGCTTTGTCCTGTGTGTGTGCTCACCACCCCACTGCTGGACACTTGAGGGGCCCCTCTGCGCATCTCGCCCCTTGCTGGTCCTCTGACCCGGGAGCTCAGCCTTCGTCTCCCTTGCTGCTGGGCCCCATCTCTTCATATCAGGAAGTCACTGGGCTCTGGGGTCCCCTCCGTGCTTCACGGCCTAGAAGTGCGTGGCAGTAAGCAGGGTCAGTGGTTCTGTCAGGGCTCCTGACCTTCCTGAGGTCCAGTGTATTGAAAACCTGTTCCATGTGTCTGTCCAGTTTTCCAGTCACTTCAGGGTAAATGCAGTCTCTTGTTTCATCTTGACCAGAAGAAAAAGTCCAATATGGGGATTTTAAAGTCTTAATTTTTAATTACTCAAGTAATACATAAATACATATTCTTAATTTTTTCCCCTTAAATGATTAGAGGTGGAGAGAACTCTGCTTTGATATCCTCAGTCCGCCCCTCGTGCTTGCCTTTCTCTGTTTCCCAGAGGTAATGACTGGAACTGGTTTGGAATTAAACTTTTCCCCCTAACAGTTTCTATACACATAACTATATGTACCCTTAGAAAATATATTAATACAGATTCTTAACATTTTGCAACTTTTTTCCACTCACTGCTTCTTGGAGAGCTTCCCAAGTTAATGCATGTAGTTACACCAAATTCTTAAATTCTGTTGGTGTATGCATTATGAATATCGTAAATATCTAGTGAAGGACAGGTTGTTTGCAACTTTTAGTTTTCACTGAAAATTTTGCAGAGTATCTTTGTACATGTGACCTTGCTTATGTGTGAATATTTCTCTGGAGTAAACATGGGAAGATGGAAAGCTGTGCCATAGGGCAGAGGTGGAGGGGTAGTTTGGAAAGAGCCAATGACTGTCTTCACATACACGTACAACATACATGTTGAGAGAAACCTCAACATACTTGACTACTTTTTAGAATCTCCCAGGAAATGGAAATTAACTCTGAGCTAGAGAGGCCTTTGAGACGCTGTTTCATGAACCTCCCTATTTTTGTGGTGGCTTTTAGAATAGCATGATTCGAAGGACAAATAGGTGACACCGGATTTTTCTTACGCATTTTAGTTTACTTTTCACAAAATAAATGTGACATTCTGGTTTTCTTTTATTCTAAAGCTACTCTTCTCTCCATTTCTACAAAAATATTTCTCTAGCATTGCCTCAATTCCATTTTTAGCCCTTTTTCTGGTTGTTTATTTTTGTAGGATTTCCTTACTGATTTCCTCCCTGAGTACCTGAAATAACTTGGCCAGTAATTTAACAGCTGCAGGGGCTAAGGACAGGCCGCTGCCGGACAGGCCACCGTGACACGCCATGTTTCAGAGCCGGGAACAATCAAGGCCCAAATGACTCAGAAAGAAACTTTGACCTCCCCACCCAGCTGCATAAAAAGAATTTAGATGGGGGACCTGCTCGGATGGGCGCTGTCACCACCGAGGGCTGTATCACAGCGAGAAGCAGGTGTGGCAGACAGAAGTCTGTTAAAATTCCTCCCCGGCCCCACTGCTTCTGTGCAGCCCATCAAGGATTTTGTTTACCAGACATTTACGCTTTTCATACTCCTGTGAATTGCTTCCTTTTTCTTTTGAAGTCTCAGGCCCCCAACCACCTTCTCTGCTCGGGACGGTGCGTACACCTCACTGTCCCTGACTGCCTTGGGAGTCCATGTCTATGGCTTCCTGTACATATGTCATTAAACTTTGTTTTCTTCTCCTGTTCATCTGTCTCATGTCAATTTGATTCTTAAAGAGCCTCTTAGGATAGAGGGAATTTCTTTCTTCCCAACAATTTCCAACTTCTGTTTCCTAATGTCTTTGATGAATTAGCTGACTGGTTCATCCAATGAACACGAATGAGAGTGAAGTGTGGGCTCTGGTCCCCCTCTGGACTGAATCACAGTCCATGGCCTTCTGTCTGGGACCTGCATCAACCCACACGCCATTATACTATGTCCTCCTCTTTGCTTCTTTTTTGTGGGGTGTATTTAACAAAAACCTGTTGTGTCTGGAAACCGCTTTAGTCTTTCCTTTTTGTCTCTGCAGCTTCAGAAACACTGAATAAAATCCTCTCCTGATAGCTTCCATACTCCCTGCTGCTTTTTCAGGTCACTCTCAGGATTTCCTATAGGGTCCCTGGTTCAAAGAGCAGAGCCGGGTGGGAACATGATTTTCAGGTGGGTCCCAAGGGTGCCAAGATTCTGGGCCTGAAGGCAGCCCAGCCACCAAGTCCATAAGCAGCCAGCGTGGGCACAAATACGTCCCACTTACCTGGTGCCTGGAAGGGACAAGGGTGCTGGGGTGGGCGTGAGCAGTGGAGGGACGCACGGAAGAACGGAAGCGGCCCTGCAGGCGCCCCGCCGTGCCCGGGGTTCCCTGCTGGAGCGCTCACCGGAGCCTCTTCTGCGGCAGCCGCCCAGCTCGGAGGCCCTCCCCGCCTCTCAGGAAGGGGCTGCAGGCCCTGCCCCGGAGGCCGGCTTCCCGGGTCACTCCGCTCTGACCGAGCAGGTGAGCCTGTGCGGGAAGAGCCGAAGGAAGCGAAGAAGGGCCGAGTCTTCTCAGCAGCAGGCAGGGAACTAGAGGTTGGCCGGCACAGTCACCACCCCCTCTGCGGGGCCCTGGGCAGAACTCCGTGGAGGGGTCGTGGGCTCAGGACACCCATCACGGGGGGACCGGAAAACCAGCCCCCCCGCAAAGGCCGGCAGGTGGGGGAGCCGGTCCGATAACTGGGTCTCTTAGTGACGGTGCTCGATGATCCCGTGTGTGCCAAACAGCCTGTGAAGCGAAGAGCTGCGCCTGCCCCAAGCTGCGTTCGCGCTGCCACCCCCTGTCAACCACAGACGAGGGGAGGGGCAACCTGGGGACAAAGGGGACACACTACCTGCCCTGAGTGGGGGGTGGCGGGCCTGACCTCGCCTCTCAGACTTCCAGAATGGCTTTGGGGAGACCAGATGCCAGACGGGTAAAGAAGGGAGAGCGCAGCAATGCTTTGGCTCTGTCGGGAGGTTTCTCTAACCAGCAGCACCGTGGGTCCCAGATGACTGATCGTTCCTCACAGTCCTACTGCTGACCATCCGTATTCGTGTGGGGACCTCACAGCTCACAGCCAGACTCACCTGCTGCACAGTAACGGAGGACCCGGGGCCCAGGAGGAGCCAATCATATCTCCTGGATTCAATGTGCCCGGCTTTCCCAGGCTGTCAGTCAGACCCAGTGCTTCTCTCTCTAGACGCACGGTCTCTCTGCCCATTCGTGCTCAGGGTCGGTGCCGTTACTAATTAGATGTGGGAACCTTTATTCTGGCAGCAGCCCCCACTGAGCAGCAGAGCCTTCTGAAATTCAAGGTGTTGCAGGGGCCATCAGGGAGGACCCAGGGCCCAAGGCTGACAGCCGGGCGTGCCGCGCGCGAGCAGGGTTCCATTGGTGCAAACACGGGGCACGTGAAGGGCTGTGTGAAGGCAGAGACCTGGGCCTCAGGAGGCCCTCTGGGCGGAACACACACCACACTCCACCGGGAGAAGTCTGAGGCGTGAGGCTATTTCACCCTCTTAGCCAAACACGAGTAAGAACAAAGGCCTTTTGGGCACTGCCCTTGGTCTCGGGGCTGGAGGGGGGCTGAGGTCCGGCTGTCTCACTGTGGTGCCGCCCCCGCCCGCCTCGTGGTGTGGGGCCCTGGTGACCACCCTGGTGGGCACGTGCCCCTCCCATTGCTACAGTCAGCCTTGCAGAGAGGGACCAGGGACGGGGGCGGGGAGGTCCCAGGGCTCGGGTACCTGGCTCTCCTGCTGCCCGCGCGTCCTCAGGCTGCCAGCCCGGCTGCCGGCCAGCGCCCTCCGCAGAGCCTCCGTCTGCTGTTGAAGTGAAGTCACAGGGTGGGGCACCCATGCCAACGCACCCCTTCCAGGGGATGCCACACTGCAGGGAGCTTCAGTGCCTGATGCCTGCTTTCTCGGGGAAGCTAGACTGGAACGCCAGCAGAGTGGGCGGGGAGGGCTGGGGGGCTGGGGGGCCGGGGCCAGGACAGCTGCAGACACCCCGCTGTGCAGGGAGGCCCGCCCTTCGGCTGGGGGTTCTTTCACCCCTTCTTCAGAGTGGGCAGAGCCCCTCTTGGCCTTCAGGCCCTTTGGGTTGTCGGCCCCTTCAGGTCTTACCTCGCCGATGAGGCCGCACACTGCCTGGATCAGATCCAGCTGATTCCCACCCAGCGTCTCCTGCAAGTCACAGACTCCGGCTCAGGAAGGGCCACCCGTCCTCTAGGCCCCACCTTCCAGAAGTGACACACACCTGGGGCTCACCTGGGGGTCCCAGTAGCGGCCCCTTTAGTGCTGTCTTCAATCCCAGGCCCGCGGCCCGTGGGCACCTGCACCTCTCAGCTGCGGCCGGGCTGCCAGAGGCCAAGGCACGAGAGCAGGGACGAGAAGGGAGGCAGCGAGGGAAGGCCGAGTCCTTGCCCCCCCCAGAGGGGTGCCTGGGAACTTGACCCCAGAGACTCGGCCATCAGGCTGTCAGCGGACTCTGACCAAGTGGGACCCTGCGGATGACGCACTGACAAGGAGCCCCGCTGGACACAGAGGCAGCAGTCCCCCTGGCTGCCTTCCTCTGTAGGCCCCAGCGGGCACCTCCTTATGTCTCATGGCCCACGGCCCACGGCTTGCAATGGAATGATTTGGTCCTTGGTAAGTACGGCGGGAGCCCTGGCATCTGGGGGCGAGGGGGAGGGTCCTCCCATCTCTGGACCACTTCCCTGGAGAGGGAAGGAGGAAGGTGGTGCCCAGCTGGGGGGCCACATGAGAGGCCCAGCTGTTGGCTACACAGCAAAAGGCTCGCCTTTTGACCCTGGGGTGGGGCAGGGACTCCCTGCCGTGGGGGGCCCACAGAACTAGTCCAGCTCAGGACAAGCAGAGACTCCGCTTTTTGTCTAGGAATCTGGCAGGGGCCAAAACAAACTCAAGAAATGTTTCAACAATTTCATGCCCAAAAGACTAGCAAATCCCAGACTTCACTGTCGGCTCACGCCTCTCCCACAACACAGGCCCCAGGCATTGTGGTTTTGACCCTTTAACATTTGCAAGCACTTGCATTTTGTGGACCTTTCACAGGTGACAGAGAATCTCTGCTTCTCTCGGGAATGACCAGGCTGGGGTTCTTCTCACACAACTCCAGGGACTGCCCCAAACCCCCAGGGAGGGGCAGTGGTGTAAGGACCCAAGGGGGGCTGGCTCCGTGGAGTATTCAGTAGGGGGGACGGGGCAGGGGGCAGGTCTGGGGGAAGCTTTGGACTGAAATTCACATTTGTGGGGCAGCTGGACCAGATCCCATGATGGCCCACTTTAGGCACGGGGTCTCCATCTCACAGCGGCTCAGACATCAGAAAGGTGGCAGCCTTCCACGTGCTCTAGGCCCTTGGCATCCCCCCACTCCTCTTTCTGGTGGGCCTTTCCCGACACATCAGCAGCTTCCTGACACCAGATGTGAGGCATTTTAAGGGTTGGAAGACTCTGAAGACTGATTCAAATCTGGAATCTGCCCAGTGAGCCTTCAGGAGGTACCTACAATGTGGCCTGGCCTGGCCTGGGTGCTGGGCTCTCCTATTTGGACGGCCACATGCAATAGAAAAAGCAGTGGCACAAAATACCGAGTTTTGGAGAAGAAAACCCTCAACGGCAATCAGAGGGCAGCAAGGGTGCGCGGCGGCAGAGTGAGGAAAGAGCAGATACATGGACTGTCTATCCGTGTCTAGCGCGGGAAACTAATGACAGCCCACTGCTGACTCTGCAGCGACAGCTCGGAGCCGGAGAACTCCTGGGCCCGGCCCGTCTTGTTGCCGCAGAGCCGGCCCGTCGCCGATTGTGTGTGTGCGGCTGCTGCCAGGCCCGACCACACTGGCTCCCCGCAGGCCTGCCCGGACATCCAGCACAGGTCACTTACTTTTATGTGTAAACACGTCGCAAACAAAGCTTGGATTAAGCCTTCATATTCTTCTTGGGCTTCTTCCCTAATCTGCTGCTTGAGATTCACGTTCTCCTCTTCCAGACCTGTGAGCCGGGCTCTCAGGGCCGCGACCTCCACGGTCATGCTGTGGCTGAGCTCTGCGACCTGGCAGCAGAAATAGTTTTGTGGCAGGAAGTGCTGCAGGAATTCCAAACTGCCACCACAAAATAGTTCTCTGTACCTGGGTGTGTGTTTGCCCTTCTGCTTTGCCTATAATGAAGAAGGTGAATATCCTGTTGTGCAAATGTGGATGCAAGAGTCTAAGGTTGGCTGCAGCAGGTGCTCAATAAATGGCTGCTGAATGAATGACCCCAGAAAATCGGTACCTGAGTGCTTTTCATTTGGATAAAACACTTCCAACTGTCCTGGCCTCCATTTCCAAGGAAGGAAACTGGTTTTCCTGGACACCTCAGCCTAAGTCCCACTGCTTCTTGGGAATGTACTTTAACTGGCCCCAAAAGAAAACAATAAGTCCTACAACTCTCAAAAATAACAACAAAAAGAAAAAGAA